ATTTTGAGACTTTTTCTACCTTTAGTTAATATCCCCCGTACAATTCAACTTAGAAATGAACAAGCAGTTAGAGGAAAACACAAATAATAATAGTAGTAATAATAATAAGAAGAACAATAAACAATAAGAGCTTGGTTACATATATCTGCACACCTTTAAACTCATGTTTTATGAATCACCAAATTCATTTCCAGTATTCAGTCTGCTCGATGCTTGTTGTCGATATCTGTCAGATTGTGTGGAAATCCACACCCATTTTCAGGTTAGCCCATAAATAGCAGAGCGTTCTGGTTGGGTCATTTGTAAAGTTTTCTTCAAACTGACATTTATTCAGAAGATTCAAGATAAAGTTCCAGTTTATCTGAAGAATAGCAATAGCGGAGCATCGTACTATTTTTTTTACTGAGTTGGGAGTTGGTTTTTGTGACTGGATCAAAATGTCACTTTTAGTAATATCACTGCTTTCATTATTGGTTACTGCATTCACTGCGTATCTAATACTGAGATTTTTTTTCTTCTCCTGACTGTTACCTTTACGCAGGTTACCCATTTCATCCTTTTTGTACGATGAAGACTTTCTATTTTTACTTTTTTTACGATCTCCAGCTTCTGATCAGTTTCTATCACATAACTCCACTCTCTCCAAGATCCATGTTAAAGTTTGTGGTCTTCTTGGTGTAGAGAAAGTAACTTATATTTCTGTCTGACTCGCTTCACTTGCAGTACGTCCTTTAGGTTAGCTGATCTGATCAGCATTTACTTGTTGTCCTTCATACCAGATGTAATGGAATGCGTTTTCACAACAAGCCTCCAATTATCTCCAACCACCTCTGAGATTTTTAAGAGACAGCTTGGAATGTATCTGCTTACAAAGGCGTTCCTAACTCCTCCCGCACTGCAATTTGTTTCTTTACAGCACTTGTGTTGTTTATATTGCATATATGCATGTATTTTAAATTGTAAAAAGTGGTATAAATAAACCGGACTCGTGTTTACATGATAAAGCATGCAAATGAGGAAATTCTGGGAAAACTTTAGAGTAGCTCATATCTATTTCAGATTCTTAATCAGATTCTCAATAACAGATGGCCTGACTGTACCGAAGACGACTCTCAAACCCGGAATGAATCAACAAAGTATTTGTTTAGGGTGGTGTACGCTTGTGGAGCCAGCTTATAGGAAGGTTTTTTATTTATTTATTTTTCTTTTCTATGTTTTAACAGTTTTGCCTGTTGTTCAGCTGAATAATAAAGAAGACATGTTAAATTAAAAGGCATAAAAAGCTTGGAAACGTACTTTTCCTGGTCTCATTTTCCATGGTAAAGAGTAATATTTTAACAGGGTGTGTTTAAACTTCATTTGACATGAACTGCAAAAAGTTTGAGAATAAATAACTTAAACACATTGAAACTTTTTTAGACATGTCAAATTGTGGTTGTTTCCATGCGAGTTCCTTTGAAGGTCTCTATGGCTGAAAATACAGCTGTTGTTTTTAAGATTTAAAGGGACCTGGCTGCATACTTTTCGGTCTACATGTAAAAGTTATTTTAAAGTTCGTTTTATGTACTGTAAAATATAAAGACACAACAGTCCTGTGGTTATTCCTCTCTTTAACAGACTAAACCTGCTTGGGAGTTGTTGTTTTTTTAATTATTATTTCTATATATTTAGCCAAATATGCAAATACAACACAGAACGTACAACCTCGATCAGAGAAGGATTTACAAATCTATCACCAAAATAAAGTTGCGAAAGTATATATCACTAAACTTAGACGCAGCTGAACTGAAACTGAACTAAACTTCCTGAAATGAAAATAGATCGGCCGACGGCTAGCAGAGTCCAGTTAGCTTTAAAGACTGTTGCTAAAACAACAAGAAATAAAACGTGCAGCTTTACATTTTTTCCTTACCCAGGTGAGCCTGTATTAGAGAGAGTAAAAGTGAAAGCTGTCACAGCTGGGGGATTCATCTGTTCAGCTGACAAAAAGGGTTCCACGACCCAGTTTCTGAGGAAGAAAACCGCCGATCACACTTTCAATAAGAATCCCATCTGAACGCCCACAGGCTGCAAGCCAAAAGCAGACGCCTTGGATCAAATGTCTGTCGAGGAACTTGTTCTCCTAGTTTCTTGCTTTTCTCTGATTTCAAGCTATGGAGTGCTACTTCTGCACAAAATCAAGAACTGAAACAAAAATTAGGACCCTTGTGAAAGAGATGTCTGCTGAATTGTGCTTAGCAAACATTCTGTAAATGTCATGTTCCCTGACAAGAAAAAGTCACATATCAGAAATAACACGGACTATAAATATTTTATGATTTAAAAAAAAAAAGTGCATCTGTGGTTAGACAGACCGCACAGGGATAAGAAAAGCGGTTAAAGATAGCAATCTTTAACCAAACACAAATGAGGTTAAACTATCTATAATATACAGATTTTTAAAATATATATAACATAAGTTGTTTTTAGTTGAAATATCAAATAAATAAATAAATAAACCACAGACGATCGTGCTTGACAAATAAAGTTTTTTTTTCTTTTCTTTACAGTGACTAAGATCTGGAACCACATCACGGCAGGGATCACTTCATTTTACTACTTGCCGATGATTATCTCACGAGGACGCAGGTAAGTGAAAAATATCAAAATAAGTCATATGGGTTCGTTTTTATGCATTTTGCTCAATGGTTTCTTATAAGCATACTCAGGTTTGAAAGAAAAATGAATAATGATGGCAGATGAATTGGCGTGGTTATAAACCCTGGCTGATTTAGACTGAAAGTAATCTAAATTTGACCAACATGTTTGTTCTTACTTCAAGTGAAATGAACATTTAAGAGTGATTCGGCATTGCCCCGACTTAAATGTGAAATTGTGAAAGGAGGTAAATATCATGGAATTTGCAGGAAGTTTTTTTTTTTGGTCCATTCAAAAATGAATGGACCAATATACCAGTGGAGACTTGGGGAAAAAGCTTAGCACAAATTAAGGTAAAAGAGAATTGAGGCAAAAATAATTATTGAAAAGAAAATGATCTGTTCTCAACACACACTTTTTCTTGGACTGTAAATAAAAACTAAAATGTTTGCACAGATGCATATTATCAGTATTCTTTCTGGTTAAATTAAAAATAATTTTATATCTAAATCTGCTCAGTTTGTTTACTGTAATATATCAAAGGTTAAAAATAGTGTACATCCTGCATGTTCTTTAGTACTATGTCGGTGAAAATAATAATAATAATAATGAAAAAAACTAAACAGTTATTCTCTGCGTAACTACAAGTAAATATTGTACAAGTCAAACAATGGGAAATATCAAATAAGAGTAAAATCCAGCGACACTATACATTTTTTACTGCATATTTTCGCATTAAAATTATATGTTTACAACTTGTGCATACAAATTGAACAGAGACCTACCCATCAGTGGTGTAAAAAACATCACTTGAATTCATTTTGCTTCCAGAAATGAAGTAATCAGTAATATTAAAAGCGTCTCAGCTGTGTATCCGATATGATCAGTCAGACAGTATGAATGTGTGGAATGGTTGATACACCTCTCAAAGCACTCCCCACCCCCTAAACCAGAGTGGCAGGTGGGTCTGCATATAAATTATATGGTTAGGTACTTCCTCAGTGAGCTTTTGAAACTTTAAAACAAAAACCCACACGGAGCCGCAAGTCCACATATGCTCGCTTAAATACATACTGACTTTGACCAAATCCTGCAGATGCACGTAGATGGAAGGTTGCAGGGCATGATGGGTTTTACTTGTTTTGCACAAGAGTGATACTACCGAAATAGACAGTGCTGCAGTCTGTACAAGTAGTTTCAAAACATGGCCGCTTATGGGAAATAAATATCTTAAGCTGAGTAGGAAGTTGTACTCTTTCAGGTTGAGGAACAAATTATGCTTCTTTGCAAATGCTGCTAGTCACTGTAAGACACAGCCTTCAGATGCAATTAAATTTATTGGGTGGGCTGGCTCTCTGGTTGGCTTGTAGGTATGACACACACAGACACACGCTGCAAATCATGACAGGATGATGATGGAAATATCACCCGGAGGTGACACGATGTCCTGTGGAATTCTCACCTATCACACAACAGGCACACTCTATACCACATTGTCTTCTTTCTAGGTTACTGTGAATGACATATTGCATTGCATTGCCCTCATTGTAACCATCACTTCAGATACTGTAACCATAACCTTAACCTTGTTTCCTCATCTGAACAATCACACCAAGATCCGAGCCTCAAAAAGCCTTTTAAAAATGTCACACTAACCATTCTGCGGTATCCAGAAAATCTCAAAAAAACACATCAAAGGTGGACAACTATGTGGCTAAAACGGTGAAACCTTGCATTGACATCCAAAAAGAGATTTGGCATTGGAAAACACTGGAAAGTGAATCATTTGACTGCATGCTGTCACCGTTTTGACATTGAGGGGCGTTTTTAATCAGACAGCTCCTGTTGTTGCACTCGTCTTTTCTAGTGGCTAAAGTGAGCTCTGATTTCCCGCTGTGGACTTTCACTCTTCAATTAGCTTATTTTAAAACTAAAACTGGATCACTTGCCAGTTCATACCTCCTCTACTCTATGGTTTATGCTACTATCCACTGTGTTTGTGGAAGGTTTTGATTCCAATTGTATCATTAACAAAAATAAGTGATTAAAGAAATACTCAAGATATTTTTAGTTCCTATTTTTTTCGTAACTCTTGGTTATCGGGATTCTTTTTCTATCAAAAAATATTGTGTAAATATTTCAGTGTGGGGTTCAGCGACGTTTTTTTTTCCAACTTTCACCGCATTTTTAATTTGCAAAAAATGAAATGCACCTTAAGAGATTGACATAGATATATAATTGATTGAGTATTTAACTGTCACAGAGAACTATTAGAACATTTCTCTTGAATAAATCTATTGTGTTTATTGACTTTTCAAATATGATTAACTAGAATGCCGTATGGTGTTGGAGTCAGATTTGACCTCAATGTTCACTACAGGAAAAATTCTGCTTTCTTGTACTTTGTAAATACAAATACAAACGCGAAAAGCATAAGACATAGCAGAACCCCTTTCTTAATGACAATGGCATGAACAAATAAAAGCATCTATTGATGTCACAATTCTTCTCAGAGTGAATCTTGTGACCAAAGCGATCATTTTGACATCCACAGCAGCTTTCCTACCCTGTATGTCAAGAGGTTTCTACCCTTGGAGCCGAATATTTCAGTAGGAATGGGATCAGTTTGTGCACCAGTGAAATCTTCATCCGATGTGTTGGTTTTCTGGTTGATATCCGACATCATTGTCTTCCTCGGAGAACACATAATCTGCTTTGTGCCCTGTCTCGTTTTTTTTGTTTTGTTTTTTTTTAAAATCATTCTCTGATGTTTGATGGAGCTTGATTATTAAGGGCTTTACATATGAGAGGGAGAATCTTACATTTTATTCTGTATTTCACAGGGAACCAATGAAGGGAAGCTGAAATAGGAGGAGAAATATAATTTTCATCAGAACTGCCACTGCAGCGTCTTGGATCAACTGATGGATTTCAACTGCATTTTGGTGACTTCCTGATAGTAAAGAATCACATTAGTCCAGCCTTCCAGCCTTGTGCTTTGTTTTCAGTGTCATTCGTGGGCAGGATATTTCTACAGATGACAGAAAGGAAATGTGATGGAATATTCAATTATAATAAATGTTAAAAAAATAACACTGTTTCTTTAATTATGATTTCTAAGTGTTTACTGGATAGTACCTTATTGTTTTCTCCATTATGAATGCTATGGGAACTGTATGACAATCATGAAATGATACACAATTTCTTTGTTTTGTGCTGTTTTCATTATAGGAGCATTTTCATCAGTCCACTGAACAACTTCATTAATACCAGTGGTGGAGCCCTGGGTCGTCTAAAATCTCAACTAAAGTAAGTAAAACTTTATCACCTGAGTTTTTAGTATGTGTTGATTTGGTATGTTTCCATGACAATCGTCAAAGTGCGGTGTCCGTACTCAAAAAAACTCTTCAATGTGGCTGAAAAAAAAAACAACCATGCAAAGAAGAGGGTGCAGAAATTTGATATTTAAAAAAATGTCAGTTATTGTAAATGCTTGATAGAAGTTTGTTGCCATGGTGGGATGATTTAGGAGTCAATTACTTTTTCACACAAGATTAAGTTGGCTTGTAAGAATTTTACCCCTGAGAAATTAGAGAAATAAAACAGAACAAATCTCTGAATGATTATGAAGTACTTGAAATCTTTTGAAACAGGTCACTTGTTGGTTAATCTAAAACTTGAGATGTGAGATGTGCAATAGTTGAAGATTTTGGAAAAGTTTGAACTTCATTTATGATACAGAAAGAGTTTGTCAGACGCTTATCAAGATCTTAAAAGACTGTGTGGGTGGAAGGCATTTGACATTTATTGAAAAGGAAGCTGACAAAAAACACCACAAACACAATTTAATACATTTTAGTATTCACAAAAAGCGCTATTTATACAAAATGAAAAAGCATTTTCATCTAATATTAATGATATTCTTGTACATTTTAAATCATATATATATATATATATATATATATATATATATTAAATGATTAAGTTTTTTTATCTGCAATTGTACTTCTTGTTAAATGCTGAACAGAACGACAGAAAGACATGGGTTGGTTGGAGTTTGCATTTAAATGTTTCAGGTAGTTCTTGCACACTTTCCGAATGAGTCATCACCTCACATGTGACAAGGAAGAACTTGATACATGCGCCAAAACCTTTGCGAGTCGAAACCGCGTGCCTTCCCCCTCTGCCATAACCACTGCCACCATGCTGTCTTACACACACACACACACACGCACACACACCAACACACACACACACACAGGCACGCATCTTTATCTATTTAGTCTCTCGGTGCAGAGAACAAAAATGCACCGCACATCCCGCCTCGATCACAATGATGACCCAGTTTCAATATTCTGATCGTACGGGCGTGTTGGAGGTCTCGTTGTCTGTGGTTTGGCTGGTGGTCTGGTAATGCCAACGGAAATACTTGGAAAGCACTTTGGCCAACGTTTTCCTGAACTTCTCCCCGACGAATGCGTAGATGACTGGATTTACGCAGCAGTGAGACAGAGCGATGATCTCAGCAAAGGTCATGGCTGCATCGATGGCCTGTGACGACTCGCAGTTGTTTAGGTATTCAGAGATCATTTGCAGTGTCTTCAGGAAGACTACGATGTTGTAGGGCACCCAGCACAGCACAAACAGACACACCACAGTGAAAATCAACTTGATCGCTTTGTCCCTTTTGGAGTTCCTGGATTTGGAGACCACTATGAGGATGTTCACGTAGCAAAAAAGAATGACAGGAAGACAGACAAAAAGGGCCACCACGTTCTCTGTGAAATTTCGCTGCATTTTCCACAACTCTGCGGTTTCCTCCGGGTAGATGGGATGGCACTGGAAGCTTCCATTGTCCGGCGACTCTAAACTGGCAAAGACCATTTGGGGAGTTGCCAAGATCACAGATGTGACCCAGGTGGTAAAGCTGGCGATGAGTCCGTAGCGAAGGGTCCGTTTTCGCATGGCTGTCACTGCGTGGACGATGGCGAGGTAGCGGTCCACGCTCATCATGGTCACAAAGAATGTCCCGCTGTAGAAACCCAGCTGTTTGGAGGGGCAGAAAGGAAGTGCAGTGAGAACAAGATGTGGCAGAATATGAAGCAAAACTGGTTAGACGTTCTGTAATTTACTTAGGGGGTGTTTAAAAAAAAACATTAAAAAAGCTCTAGTTTCTGAGAACTTTTAACATTTTCTGAATTAAAGAAAAAAAAAATAGAAAAATGATCTCACTTGATAGAACCCAGTAGCCAGTTTGCAGGATGGAAGGCTCTGGGCGATGTGGACCCAGACAGGCAGAGACACAGCCACTAAAAGGTCCGACAGGACCAGGTTTAGCAGGAACACGTCAGTCATAGTCCTTATCTTTGTGTACCGGAGGAGAACCCAGAGAACGATCCCGTTTCCTGTGAAACAAATTGCAATAAAATGTCTTAGCTTTTTAAGGTTAGACAATCCAAATCAAACAGGTATGTCTACCTAAGATATCATATTCGGGTTTTTTCAGGTTAGACTTTTGTGTGTGTAATCTTACCCATTAGGCCCACGCAGAACAAGATGTAGTAAAGAACAGGGATGAGCATAGACCCACCGGTGGAGACCCAACTTGTTTCATTGCATTCGAAATCATAGTCATAATATTCAGACACATTCTCCGTTGCGTTCATAGTGCTGTGTGAGACAGAACAGGAGCTTCGTCAATAAGACATTGAACAGATAATGAAAGATAAAACCCAATCATATTCCTTAACATAAAAAGTAAACTGTGAAGCATTTACCTCCTTAAAGTTTGTTTTCTTTTTGCATTTTGTCACACATAAATGTTTTGGATGTGAATATCAGACAATGAGAACCCAAAAAAATACCAAGGTCACTTTCAAATGATGATTACATTCAACAAAAGCTATCCTGTATAACGTGGTAATATATGAAAAAGAATTTATACAATCAGAAAATTATGAATTTACACTTATTAATCTCCTTTCTTTCAAATTGACCTTGATTTCACTAGTCACACACTTGACTAGTGATTACTGACATTGCCATGAAATTAGGAAATTATTCAGCTAGAGCCTGCCTGGTAACAGGAAATAGGCTAAACGATCTCAACAAGCATCTGGTCTTGAAAAGATTCAAGAGCACATAAGAGAAAAAGAAGTTATTGATATCTGCTTGTCAATAAAGGGTTGGAGGTGCAGTGGTGGCTCCGGGGCAAAGCACGACCCACGTACGGAGGCCTTAGTCCTCAAGGCAGTAGTCGCAGGTTCGGTTCCCAGCCTGACGACATTTGCCGCATGTCTTCCCTCTCTCTCTTTACCCTCTTTCCTGTCAAGCTACTTTCAAATAAAAGCCACTAGAGTTAACAAAACCTTTAAATAATAAAGAGTTAGATAGCCCTTTGTAAGGCTTTGAGATTCCAGCAAAACGGGGAACAAAAACATATTTTATTGCTCATTGACAGTTCATCTAGAAGGTCATAGTATAACCTTGAACTACATTTGAAGTACTGCAGACATCACCTGCATCAGTTCAAGTATAAGAAAGAAAAGCTGCCTTGGCATAGTTCCAAGGTAAGAGGCTCTGAAGAGCATTTACCAAGAAACATCTTGATGATTTGTGAAAACTTTTGTGAATGACTCCTAAAGTAAAATAATAATAAAAAAAGAAACTACTGTTCTGGAGAGCCCTTGTCAAACTTTTAACTTAAATCTGATTGAGATGCTGTGGCATGACCTTAAACAGTACATTCATGTTTGAAAACACTTTACTGTAGCTGAATCAAAAAATAATTCAGCAGAGAAGAGTGGGTCCAGATGTAAGATTTATTTCCAGTTATCACAAACTCTTGTTGCTGTCAAGGGCGGCGAAAGACGCCACCCTTGACTTGGTTTTGCAGCATGTAAAAATTGGTCAGTTGGTTTTGCAGCAAGTAAAATTGTTTGATAATCTAAAAGATGTAAGTGACACAAAAAAGCAAAATCTGAAAAACAGATGTAAGCGGGCAAATAATTTTTTCAGGGTAATGTTATCTTTGATATTCACACTCCTCATTTATCTCTGCAAAATTTTCAAATTTGAATTTATAATGAACAGCAAAGCCACCATTATATCTGATACACCAACTAAACATTGGAAACAGGCAATTCAGAAGTGATCATTTTTTCTTCATTTCAGTGAAAAACATTTTTTCAGTGCGCAACATCTGCCGCTTCCTGCCACCTAACATCCCAGTATAGTTAAGCCTTCTCTCAAACAAAGAGAACTTACATCAGACATACTGAACGGAGTTTGTACTTTCGTGGTCAAAAGGTAAACAAACAGGCATTTTTATTTTATTGAGTCTCTATGACATTAATAATTGGAATATACTTTCATAGCAAGCCAAAGCAGACAAAATATCCAAACATAATTTTGGACATCTGTACTTACTTTCCCATTGGGTCATTTGACTCCTGATACTCCCGTCTTGTGATATCAAAAAATATAAACTAATTATCTTTGAGTTTTCTGTTAAAATTCCTCTCAGAGATCTTCAAGGCACAACCAGAAGAGACAGCATGCCTCTCTGTTTCACAGAACACCACGTTCTTCCTCACCACCACGAGGACTGGACCCTGTACAGGCTGACACTCAGCTGGGGGGGTAATTTGTATAAGTGTTTTTGGACTTTTCTGCCCTTTTCAGCTGAACTTCAGATACCATCATCATTTCATGAGTCACACTGGAAAGGCCTATCCAGCGCCACTTTTTAGAAGTCGGGTCAGCGGTCGTATAAATCTGAAACAAATTCACTATCACTGAATCTCTTCTAGAGATTCCTACTCCCCTGAATGAGTTGTAGTTACAGAAACACATGTGTAGCACAAACTTCCTACTGTTGTGACCATAATCAAAATCATGTGATCTTATAAACCACATCTCAGACATTTTTCTTTCGCTGTCAACATACCCTGAACCACTCGCTTTGACACTTATGCCGACCCTCACTTCCTGTGGCTGACTTTGCTTACGTGAAAACACAAGCGCGCGCGCACACACACACACACACACTCACAGGTAGGCAGCTCAGCCACAAGCGCACACATAATCAACAACTACGCTATGTGTTCAAGGTGTAGGAGGTGAACGAGAAGAAAGTGTTCCAAATGGCAACTAAAAGTTTAGAAATTGAGATGTTGAGGCACTTACCACACCGGCTGCCAAAGTCGCTGCTGCTGAGCTGCGTGTGTGTGTGTGTTGCTGAGCGGTGCATCAAGATTTCATTGTCATCCTGCCACATGCTTGCAAAGTTTTTGTGACAAATCCTGCAGCAAGGCTCATTTCTGGTAACGTGAACTCTGGGTTTTGTTGTTTCCTCTGCATCGTGTTAAACCTGCACAGAGGTGTCAGTGCGGTATTCTGAGAATTCTCCCTTGATGTGTACAGAAAGAGTTGGAGGGGGCGGAAATGTCTGCTCATGGGGAGCTTTGCTGTTTTCTTTACTCATATCAGAGAGATCTTTGAAGGGTCTTCTCTTTAATCTTTATTCCAAAACAGCAAGCTTTTCATTCAGATTATCGCCTTTGACAGGGATTTGCAGAAATTAACAGTCTTACTACGTAAAAGTTGTACTATGTCTCCCGTAATGCCTGAACTTCTTCGATTTTTTTTTTAATCTTAGTAACCCCAAATTTGTATGTATTTTATTGGGATTTTGCTTGAAAGTCAACACAAAGCTTAAATTGAGAGGCAGCCAGAAGGCCAACGGTATCTCCTGCGTAGCTGCAGACAGCCGTAGCTCGGGAGGGTGAATCTACTACTAGCTGGATGCTCCACAAATTTGGCTTTTAAAAAAGGATGGCTTGAAGAAAGTGATCATTGAAGGAAAGCCACAAGAAGCAGTATTTGTATTGCCACAAAGCATGTAGGGCTCAATATTGATTGGATGAGACAAAAACTGAACCTTTAGGCCTAAACGCAGAACACCATGCCGAGACGAAGCTGCTCCAAAAGCTGCTCCAAAAGCTGCTCGTCCGCCAGTCTCAAAGCTTTCGCAGCCTCTAACATGTTTTCTTTCAGGCTTGGCTAATATGTAGCTCCATCCACCTTCCAATGAGGCCTGACCATGTTCCCTGCATCTGCAGATGCAGATGCAGGGAACATGCATTGGGCATGCATCTGCAGATGCAGGGAACATGGTCAGGCCTCATTGGAAGGTGGATGAAGCTACATATTAGCCAAGCCTGAAAGAAAACAAGAGGCTGCGAAAGCTTTGAGACTGGCGGACGAGAAACACCTACAAGAAGGAACAGTTCCTCTATCCTGTACTCTTCTGATTCATAACCATGCTCTGTCAGATAAAATCAGAACATGTGCTGAGGTTTGCAGTTATAATGTGACAAAATCAGTCAAATCAATCAAATTTTATTTGCATAGCATCTTTCAGCAACAAGGCATTTCAAAGTACTTTACATCATCAAATAAACAAAAGTACAATGTCGTAGAACGCACAGTCGACAATCGAAACATTACATTTTGTCATTGTTGCACATCAGAATGTCGATTAATGTTTCATTGATTATGTTTTCAAAGAAAATAACTTCAGTTTTGTTTCTATTCGACTGAAGAAAGTTTAGGCACATCCACACATTTATCTGTACTAAGGATTTGTTCAGCGCTTGGATGGGTTCAGAGTCACCCGGTGACATTGTAATGTAGATCTTTGTATCACATAGTTACAGTAGATAATCTTATTTCCCGTTATAAGCTGAGCTACTTGAAGGACATATTGTGTGGCAAAATAAAGAAAATATCTGTACACCAAAAAATATCCTGCCATACCTTGTCTTGCGAGAGCCCCACTCGGTGCATGCCTCTTCTCTCGGTTTTACCATCTACCTCAATATATGAAAGTAGCTAACACGATGCAAAAGCTAGCAGATTTTGCTAATCTGGCAGATAAAAGGAGAAAAAAGTCCCACTTGCCTTACAGTCTTCAGATGAGCAATACTCCTACAAAGCAGACTGCCACATCAACTGAGAGAAAGATCACATACTACCTCAAACATTCTCAAGTAAAAAGGTGACAGATTTGAAAACTCTGGAAAGTAATTTTATTATAAAAAAGCATAACATATTACAGCAGACAGGAAAACAATACAACTCTTTTTGATAACTTTTGAAAAATGTCCTACAGATTGTTCAACTGCACAGTAAGCAAAAATTATTCAATGAATGCAAAACACCATGCAGAGCAGGATGCAAAAGCTCTCTGCTGGAAGACGTTTTTTTTTAATTATTATTATTTAGCATCAGCTCACAAAGGTGTGAGGAAGAAATAACAAAACGGTGTTATCTGAAGTGTCTGTGAAGATCTTTGTGGTTGCAAGCCGTTACAAACTGTAAACTTTGTCTGATACCCTTTCTGCATCCAACGTCATAAGGAGGAGGAAGTGTCTTGGTTGAAACAAAATACAAAGGGTTCAAAGGATGTACAGAGATTGTATTGAAGATTAGATACTGATGAATGTTGTCGTCTCAAAGATGAAACCACAACAAGGACACCAAGTGGCATGGAGTGCCTGATTAGTCTCTACCAATAACCAAATGTCCACTTGTACCTCCTACATGATGACAGTGGAGGTGATAGAGGATTTGGACACAACTGAACTTCTCCTGAATGAGCTCTCCGTGTAACTCACTTGGCCAGGTACCCATTTCTTCAGCAACTGCATGGCTCGTCTCATGAACTTTTGCCCCACGAAGGCGTATATGATGGGGTTCAGGCAGCAGTGTGTGAACGCGATTGCCTCGGACACTGCGATCGACACCTTGATGCGCGTCTCCATGCTGCAGCCGCCGGCTAGTAGGTCTTCGGAAAACAGGAACTTCAAGAAGCGGGAAATGTGATACGGCGCCCAGAACAGGAAGAAGACTATCATTATGGAGATGATGAGCTTGACAATTCTATGCCTTTTGGCCGTCCTCATTTTCACCAGGGTGGGGATTATCCTCGAGTAGCAAGCCACCATCACCAGAATGGGAATCAAGAGACCCAGAATATTTGTAGCAAACAGATCGTAGTAGACCCAGCCTTGACTGTCCGGACTGTAAGAACAGCTTTGAGTTTCGCTGTCATTTCCTAACTTTGTAAAGATGAAGGTTGGCAGAGACACGCACACGCTCACGATCCAAATCAACGCAATCAGAGAAAAGCACGCCTTCGTTGTGCGATACCGTGCCACCTTGTGAGCGTACATGATAACCACGTAGCGGTCCAGCGTCATGACAACCATGAAGAAGATGCTGCTGAAGAAGCCAGTGTTGTGGGAGCAGGACAGGAAACGACACATAAAGTCACCGAAGGTCCAATTGCCAACCATAGCGTAGTGACTGTAGAATGGGAGCGTGAGGAGGAAGATGAGATCAGAGAAGGCCAAGTTGAAGAGACACATGTCAGTCATGTTGGTCTGGTTGCGGTGTTTCACTAGGACACAGACGACCAGGCCATTTCCTTTCAAACAGAAAGAGATCAACATGTTAGTTCCTGGCAGAATTGTTTGTAGTAGGAGTGTCTTTGGAGCTTTATTTATACACTTACCTAAGAAGCCCAGGATGAATACCAAAGTGTAGATGGTCACCAGAAACCCCTTACTAAATGTCTCCATATCACCCAGCTCACATGGATTAAAGTTTTCGGGGTTATCGTCGTCGTTATAGCCTGAATAATCAGGCGTCGTGAATGTGAGGTGCTCTTCAGTGACATCTGCAAATAGAGATTTTTTATTAAACATCAATCTCAATGTCAGTTCATTCAAACGTTATTGCAAGAATATTCATCCAAGAGAAGCCGGTTTTCAATTTAAAGAAACAAAATATGTGGCTTGTATTAGCATTCTCAACTAATGAGAATGCTAATACTCAGCTTATCCTCCAAACTGAGCCATACATTTCTACAAATTAAGAAATTTGCAATATGTTGTCAATTGGTGGTACTGGTTTGTAGACATTTGACCAAATTAGTTTAATTTGGTCAAACATAATAATAATAATTAATTATAATAATTATATAATTATAATTGATTTAACTTTTTTCTTTTTTTTTTTTTTTGCATTGTTAAAATGTTAATCTGTCCTAACTTTGCCCCTGTTTAAATCAAAAATACTTTCTTTGCATGCAAAGCATGTCTACAACACTTAGGATAAAGATACACCAGTCAGTCTGCTGGAGATCACAATCATCCATCCATTTTGTTTACACCCTTGTCCCTTAATGGGGTCGGGAGGGTTGCTGGTGCCTATCTCCAGCTAACGTTCCGGGCGAGAGGCAGGGTACACACTGGACAGGTCACCGGTCTGTCGCAGGGCAACACAGAGACAGACAGGACACACAACCATGCACACACACACTCGCACCTAGGGGCAATTTGGAGAGGCAAATTAACCTGACAGTCATGTTTTTGGATTGTGGGAGGAAGCCAGAGTACCCAGAGAAAACCCATGCATGCACAGGGAGAACATGCAAACTCCATGCAAAAAGGCCGGGGCTGGGAATTGAACCCAGAACCTTCTTGCTGCAAGGCAACAGCTCTACCAACTGCACCACTGTGCAGCCTGAGATCAGAATCAGATGATCTTAAAAAAAGATTCAGATTGTTCCTGTTTTCTAGATGCGGTGAACTTTAGGTGCCCACTATTTTTGGTCTATGAGCACTTTAAACTGCAGGAAGTACGTCAATGTGGCTTTGAAGTAATAACAAAAAAAAAAAAAAGAATATAACACCGGTACAAGCACCGGAATATAAGAAATAGGAATAGTATCTTTAATATAATTTAATGTCCTTAGAAAAAAAATACAAGAACTGGTCAGGATCATAATCTCAACAATAACAGGAAATCGGTGCATTTCTAAATTTGGGTCTTAGTTCTGCTTAGTAAACTTCAGTTCTTAGCTTAATTCTGCAGATAGAAATAAATAAGGCCTGGAGCCAGTTTTAGCCTTAGGCCGATGTTCAAAGCTTGAGATATTGTTTTAAAGCCTAAAACCACTTTAGACATCTCCAGGGTTTTATATCAACTGTTTTCCTTGACCTGTATGATGCTCTTTATTCTTCAGTGCTTCTAAAAACTTCTGATGCCTTCAGGCAACAGCTGTTTTTTTTTGTTTTTTTTACTGAGGTTAAACACACATGTGGATTGTGGACTCCTTATTAATTAGGTGACTGAATGCAATTGCACTGCAATGCACTAGATTTTATTTGGGGTCAAAAAATAAATACAACGGGGTTAACACATTTCAGATTTTTTATGCTAACATTTTTAAGATCAGCGTGTTGTTTTCTTTTCACTTCATAGTTACAAACTACTTTTGTTGGTCTAACACAAAAACACATAAAGTGCAATAAATTCTGTGGGTTTAATGTGACAAAATTCTAAAACCTTAAAGCGTTATGAACTCTTTTGCAGGGTACCAAACAAATCCGGATACAATGATGTGCTCAGGTCACCTCAAAGATGTAGTTTCATTTAACATCAGAGGCCAGTAGCATACGTTTTAAAGAATTTTTATTGAAGAAGAAGCACAAAGTCCTAGCCTGGTCCAAACATCTATCTGCTTAAACTGCTGACATCCTGGAGGCAAACTTCTGAAACAGTTCATAATGAAACCTTTTACGCCATCTGCTGGTTATTGCAGATAACGCATTCAAAGGCAAGAACATGAGGATACTGTTCCACGTCATTTTATTTCACCACATACCTTTGTATTGTTTTTCACGCATGTGATTCATGTGGTGTGAATTGTACACATAGGGTCCATAGGTTTCTGTACGCTCATCTGTTCTGTATTATTTTACAAAATCCAAACAAACAAGTCCCGTTTAATGGAAAAATGACTTCTAAAGATGGAGAATATTCAGTAATTTCGTTTATTTATTTTTATTATGAATTATTCTGAATTTATTTAAGCCCAACTGAAAATATTTATTGCATTGTATTGTACTCAAAACTTAAATTTTTGTACTCAAAACTTAGGTTCTGAGTACAATACGAAATACAATTCAAAGGTTTTGCACTAGCAGGAGTCAAGATTAAAACTTCTAAAAAATAAACATATGTAGAGGTAAATAAATAAAATTAATTTAAAAAGTAAAAAAAAAAAAAAACTCCACAGTTATTTCTATTTGTTGAAATGCACTTACTTGACATGGTGATGTCTCTGTGATAACCTTCTTCAATCAGATAAAATCCAAATTCGCTTATGAGGTGCGCCTGCCTCTAGATGACTGCGATTGTGATGCTCTGAAGCGAGCAGAGAGGATGAACTGCCTCCGAACCAGCACAGCCTTAATGTGACTAGAAACAGTGAGAAACTGAAGTGCAGATGTTGTTTCCTGTTCGTCCCTGGGCGAGATCTTTATCTGCGCCCTTCTGACAACAACCTGGCAGAAAATAGAACTCAATGACTTGTAAAACAAGTGAGAAAATGTGCCAGATGCTGACAAACACGCCAAAGCTTTTTGACATGCACGTTATACCTGCTGATTTTGATTTAAAAGCTCTTTGTCTTGCGGGGTTTAGTGATGATGGAACAAAGGGGGACAGTGTTATTTGCATAGCAAGTAAATGTGACCAAGCTTGTACCGGATAGTTTCTTGTCTTTATATCAACAGTATATCTTTTACGATCATTCTGTCTCAAAAATCAGTTTTCAGGCCATTTTATTATTCGGCAAAAACACAGTTTATTAAGTTCTATAAATATATATCTTCTCTCGTGACATGCGAACTGTCTTCATATGTTTGTTCCTCTTTCTGCTTTTATAAATGTCACTTTTGGGTTTCATTTGTATGCAGCTATAGAGCCACCGTTTTTGTCTTTGTTTTACTTATTAGAAGCAGTCGAAGGGACAGACTGAACTGAAACAAGGACAAAGTTTCAGTGGTCGACACGCAAAATATCTTTCAAAATTACACATTCTGAGAATAGTTTGTAGAGTCATGTGTGGTCAACTTCGGTACTGATTTACAGATGCTTGACCAAATTACTTTAAGAATTGTCCAACCTGCTTTTGTTGGATAACACTTTCAGGCATTTTTATTTAACGAACATTTTTTTTTTTTACATTGTTAAAATGTTAGTCTGTTTTTTTTTCTTTTTTGGGGGGGGGGGCTGCCTCTGCTTAAAATCAAAATACTTTTCTGGCTTGCAAAGCATGTCAACAAGATTTAGGGTAGAGATACACCAGTCAGTCTGCTAGAGATCAGAATAAAAAAAAAAAGAGTCAGATTGTTCCTGTTTGATCTTTAAATTTCCACTACTTTTGGTCTATGAACACTTCAATCTGCAGGAAATACTTCAAAATGGCCTTTAAGGTAATATGAAAAAAGCATGCGTGTATAGTTAAGGGAACCCCTTACTTATTGGAAAAACAGAGTTAATCTATTTAATGTCACTTCATGTTCTTAGAAAAAAAAATACAAGAACTGGTTAACATCATAATTTCAAGTATTATAGGAAATTGGTACATTTCTAATTTTGGGTGTTTGTTGTGCTGAGCAAACATCAGTTCTTTGCTTAATTCTGCACACGAAGCAGATAAAAATAAAAAAGGCCTGCAGGGAAGTTTTAGTCTAGAACATTTAGATTACATACACAAAATTGCCTTCAAAAAATGCCTTCATTTATTTGGAGGTTAAGTGATAGTATCATATTAGTCATCAGTTTCTCCTTCGGGGTTTTGATCTGTTTCTCTCTTTTTTGTCCTTCATATGTCATACAATCAGTAATTTTTTTAACCATGTCAGACCATATTGTACTTGCTAAAAGGTTTTAGATGGTTTCCTGCTTCAACCAAACTGATTTAAGTTTATGGTGGACACACTTTCAGATTGAAAAAATGTAAAATTCAATACAAACTTACTAAATTATTATTATCATTATTATGAAATTCAACCTTAGGTTACATACAAATTGGGGCCGATTTTGCGACATCGAAAACAAAACGGAACATCGTGCCCTCATGACCCATGGTTTGGGGAAACTACTCGTTTATTTTGTGTTTTAACGGTGACCTCTAGTGGTGGAAAAATATAGTGCAACTATGTGTTGGTATGAAAATCGCCTGTGCGGGCATAGGGCTCTTTGCACCTACGGCGTTGACGTCACATCTCCAGGAGCTAATGCGGCTCACTTTTTTCCGCTTTGAGTTACCNTGCTCTGCAACCTGGTGCTGAAGAACCTGTGTGAGAGTTTCACAGCAGGGAAAGTCCCACAGAGGCGGCAGGATGTGTGCAGCCTGCACGGCGAGAAGCTGAAGCTGTTCTGTTTGGACCACCGGGAGCCGGCGTGCGTCGTCTGCAGAGACTCAGAGAGGCACAGCGGCCACAGGTTCAGACCCGCTGATGAAGCCGCTCAGCAGCGCAGGGAGGAGGTCCAGAAAGACATCCGGGCTCTGCAGGACAAGGTCAAGCTTTTCAGTCAAGTCAAAGTCCAGTTCAGTCAAACCGCTGAGCACATTAAGCTCCAGACGCGGAACACAGAGACGCAGATCAGGCAGCAGTTCCTGAAGCTTCACCAGTTTCTGGAGGAGGAAGAGGAGCAGAGGATGTCGGCGCTGAGGAAGGAGGAGAACCTGAAGAGTCGGGTGATGGAGGAGAAGATGGAGGCGCTGAGAAGAGAGATGTTGGCTCTTCTGGACGCCATCAGAGCCGCAGAGGAAGAGCTGAGAGCCGCGGACGTCCCCCTGCTGCTGGGCTCCACGGCGCAGCGCTGCCCCCTGCTGGGCGACCCCCAGCTGGCCCCAGGAGCCCTGGTAGACGTGGCCAAGCATCTGGGCAACCTGGGGTTCCACATCTGGAGGAACATGAAGGACGCCATCTCCTTCACTCCGGTCGTCTTGGACCCGAACACGGCGAACCCGGAGCTGGTTCTGTCCGATGACCTGACCAGCGTGCGGTGCGGCAGGAACCGGCTGCTGCCCGAAAACCCGGAGCGGATCGGAGGCTTCTGCTCCGTCCTGGGGTCGGAGGGCTTCTGCTCCGGGGCGCACAGCTGGGAGGTGGAGGTGGGGCGGCACGGCCGCTGGGAGCTGGGGGTTCTGGAGGACTGGGTCCGGAGGGACGGGGCCCTGTGGTCGGGGCTGTGGAGGATCCAGCTGTGTGACGGAAAACACACCGCCATCTCTCAGACCGCCTCGGCTCTGCTCACCGTCCGGGCGCTGCAGAAGGTCCGGGTGGATCTGGACCTGGACCGGAACCAGCTGTCCTTCTTTAACGCAGACACCAACACACACATACACTCCTTCACACACACATTCACACACAGAGTTTTCCCTTACATCTGGAGCGGGGTGGAGCTTCCGCTGAGGATTTTACCGAGGAAGATCAGCGTGAGCAGCTCTTCCTCTGGATGAGGATCAGAACAGGATCATCATTTTATTCTGACTTTATATCAGCTGCTGCTGATTTTTACCTCATGTTTTAGTAAACAGCTTTGGGTTTTACGCTCAGATAAAACTCAGCCAGTCTTTTCTCTGGTCAGATAAATTATCCTGACTAAACTCAAAATGATCAGTTTTCACTAAAGGAGTTAAAGGCCTTCGGTCTGGTGTGGTTTGGCCCTTTAAGTCATTCAAACACAAAATCTGCTGCAAAATGAAATAATGTGGAAATTTCTGTACAACAGCAGCAAAATGACGAGAAATCAAATAGATTCATAAACAGAAAAGAAAATGTATAAAAACAGAATAAAATACTGAAAGAGCAAAACTTCAACATAAACATAAAATACTCTGACCCAAAGGAATCATTTACACAGAGAAACTTCATTAAAAATGTAGAAATTGTTTACTTGGTATTAAAAATATTATTTACAATTAGTGACAATAAAAAGTGCAACAGCAGAGATGAGCAGATACCAGCAGAAATATAATGTCTCTAGATTTTATCATTCATAAAGTTTCCTCGACTTTATAAGAACTAAAAAAAGGCAAGTTATGAATAAGTTTATTACAGATTAAAGATAAACTTCTGATCATGTCCTGTAGAAAAACACAAAGACAGAAAAGCAGAAAAGAAACAGAGAACGGTGGAAAAAGGTTTAAAATCAGAGACCGAAAGATGGAGAGAATTCAAAACACCCCAGAAGTCTGCTTCCACAGAAAGAGAGAAAAGAAACGTGTGTGTGTGTGTGTGTGTGGACGTAAACTGTATTTTCCATCAATAAATAACTTTTAATATTAAGGATCTAATCTGAGTCTTTCCTTAATCTCACAGCGACTAATGAAGAGTAAATCATGAATTAATTGTTAATTAACTGTTAAATAATGATGAACTTTTGATCTAGTTGGACTGATAGTGATTATTAATGGTTAATTAGTGAGTCTTTGACTTCACATGTAATTAACTGTTAGTGAACAGTTAATTAGCTGTTAGCTAATGAATGTTTCTCTTTAGTTAATGTGTAGTTAAGCTGATTTAATGCAGTTTCCAACAGTAAATAACTTCTAACAGGATTTAAAAAGCTGATTTGATTTCAGGAAAATCTTGAATGTTTGTAGAATAAGGGGGATTTAAATGATGACCCCGACGGTTTCAGACATTTTCACTTCAGCTGATAAATATTTGGGATTTTTATCTGCTTCCTGTTTATTGAAGCACAAAAGTATTTTAGCTGCTTTTTGTCATCAGTGAATTTCAGGAATGAGTCACAGAAGCTGTTGTGTTTGTCTGGAGTTTGACTCAGGAACAAAAACTTCAGATCTTTTATTTATTGTTGGTTGAATTAAAAAGATTTAATGTTTTTGCAGCCAAACCTTGTAACTGAAAAGAGCAAAGTCTGCCATCTGGTGGTGCAGTCAGGAACTGCAACTGGTTTTTACGTTCTGTCCATCTCTGGTCCTAAATCATGGCTGAATGACCTTCTCAGGGTTAAAGGTCAAGTTGTCTAGAGCGCAGCTGGTGACCTAATTATTAAATTTAGCTCTGCTGAAGCGGGAAACCTGTTCTCTGATCTAGTGACGCTTATTCATTCAGATATTTGTCCTAATAAAGTGTTTTTAAAGAGCAGAATGTGTTTTTGTTGTTTTCTCTGTATTTAACCTGCTTGTTGCTCTCGGTTTGTTCTCACTCTGCCTCCCGTCTCCATGTCAGGGACTCGGTGTCTGCCGGAGCGACGCTGCAGAAGGTCTACAAGCTGCTGCCGCTGCTGGCCAACAACCGTGAGAGGAGAGGCATCGCTCTGGACGGGAAGCTGAAGCACGAGGACACCAACCTGGCCTCGTCCAGCATGTGAGCCGCGCTCCACGCCAAAGCTCTGCCCCGCAGAACCGGCAGGATCTGAAACGTCTGTTTTGTTTCAGCGTGAAGGAAGGAGTCCTGAAGGAGGTTCTGGGAATCATGGTTTCATACAAAGTCATGGTGAAGCTCATCATCGGAGGGTTGGTCGGTTTTCCTCTGATTTTCCTACAACGATCAAAATCACAACAACCTGTCAGATCATAAGGTGTTAGAGATCTTTGATCAATTCAGTTTATTTCACAACAAATGTCAAATCAAAAGTAAGAAGTTAACAGCAGGAGACGGAGAACAGGAAGTGGCAGCATGATGCCAGCGCTCCTCCAGGAAGTAACCTCAGCCAATCAGGACCCAGACCTCAGAGGCTGTCTGTGTTTCGTTTCCTCTGAAGCGTTTCTGCTGTAATCTGATCTCATGCTTGTCTCCCACCTGCTGGCAGGATGATGGGATCCAGGTAAGTTCAGGCTCTGTGAAACATCATGCATGTTGGACTCGGCCCGTTTATCCTGAACCTGGTGTGTGTTGCAGTGAGGTCGGCCTGGAGGTTCCCTTCACACTCATGCATCCCAAACCAGAAGCAGGTAGAACTTTCACCTGATCTCACCTGTCCATCAGACCTCGTTCACTATTTCACCTGTTTTCTCTCCACTTTGATTTTCTTGCTGCCGGCAGTGAAGGAGAGGTAACTATGAGAGCAACTAGATTCTGATGAGGCTGAAACAAAGACATGCAGAGAGAAGCTTCCTGATCTTATTGATGCCTCAGATCAGATTATTCATCAGGTCTTCCCTCTCCTGGTCCATGTTTCAGTTTTCCTCAGCGTTTTGTTTTTATCTGTTGTCTTCTGATCAGGTTAAACAGGAAGAACCTGCTGCCATGTTGGCTGGTGACACCTTGGCGCCCAACATGTTTGTTTTTGTTTTCTTTAATGTCAGAACAGATGCAGGTTGAGTTTATGGAATAGTTTGCAGCTTTAGATGAAGGAAAAACAAACGTAGGAGAACATTCCCAGATCAGTTATGAAGTACGTTGGGTCCCAGGGGAGAGTTTGTGTTTTCCTCAGTGTTGTGGCCTGAATCATTTCCTGCTGATCAGTTTCTGTGGGAGTTTAGTTCTCAGTGGTCTGATCTGTGATGCTGCTGCTGTTCCCAGTGAGATGGAGGATGAGATGGTGTTCCAGGAATTCAAACGCTCCTACCTGAAGGGAATCATCGGCGCCGGCGATGATGACGATGAGGAAGGCAACGTGTCGGGCGGAGACGACATGGCGCCCAAGGAGAAGTAGAGACGGCGACGTGTTGGGATGCGACATCACTGTTTTAATCCCATGTTTTAGTGAAGTTCGTCTTCCTGCAGCTCAGAGATTTTAGTTACCGTAGAAACGAGCTGCAGCTTAGGCTCTAACTGAGACGCGTTGTTCTGTGTTTGAACAATAAAAACTATTGGACTCCATCTGTTTTCATCTCCTCTGATTTATTACATGAATTCATAAACTCCTGGATTAAAAGGACCTGAATGGAAGATTATTGTGATTAAAACGTTTCCAAACATTATTCAGGGTTTGAAGACTTCCAGAAGTTACACTATGGAATAATATTCATTACATTACAAGGTTTGATTAACACTGAAATTTTAGTGGACATAAAATTCCCTTTAATCAGCTGAAATGCTTTTCTGGAAAAGTTTCAGGCCAGAGACGATCAGAGCTGCTGTGAGTTTTTATTCTGAAGTTCAGGGAAATGAAGTATATTCAGTATTCCTGGAAAAGCTGCACATTGATTAGTGGACAAAATGTTGCCTGGGACCTACCTACTGACGTCACATCCGCATGAGCAAAATGCGGCTTTCTTGTTTGCTTTGAGTTACCATGACTGCTAGAAATGTCAAAGTCATATTTCAGAAGCAAATAAAGCGACACCATGTTGTCTTCCTAATATAAGGGACTTTTAAGTTTTCATTAATTTCCAAGCGATCCTGAATTAAGAAAATGATGGCTTGTAAATATCTGTCGCTACCAGTTAAAGCTAATGCCGCACAAGAAAAAGTTTGCAGCCTTCACTTCACTCCGGATCAGCCTAAAACTACCGGGGGAGACGGATGGTAAATAAAGGAGCCTCCCTGAGTTATTTCCATGGAATCACTTCTGTATTCAGCCTGAAAAAGCGAGTATATGGGAACGAGAGAGCAGACCAGAGCCAGACAGCCGAGCAACTGATCCGCCTGTACATACTGCTGTAAACACCGCATCTGAGCTCTTCACAAGAAACATGCAAAGGTAATAAAACGAAATAACACGGAGACAGGTCATATTTTTCTAAAAGCAGCAACTTTGAACCTGAACAGCTGAACCAGATCTCTGACACCAGAGCTACTGTTAAGCTATGAGGCTTGTTGAGCTCCGTCAGGCTTCGGAAGTAAAAAGTCCGGTAACCTCCCCGTTAGTCTGTGACACTAACGACAATAAACACACATAATATACTTGAAAATAAGATAAATACATTGTCCGTTAGAATGTTTAGATACTTAAATAGCACATTTTACAAGAACAATGTCCGAGAATATTGCCTACTAGCATAAGCTAACGTTAATGTTAGCCACAAAGTTTAAGTAAAACTCACCTTCGTGTCAGTGAATGTATAACGAGGCGAACA